CATTAATGTGAAAACATCAATCACGAGAACAATTTCTCGCAATAATTACAGTCAAGCCTTGGTTTTCGAACGTGTCTGTTATCGACCAAATTGGATTTCAACCAGAACGAGACTTTTGCGCCTTGGATTACGACCGAAAACCGGTTTTCGACCAAATTGAGCAAACCCGAATACACCACTCAACTCCTCTCGGCTTCCTTACACGAGGAAGTGACGCTTCCTCGTGTAACGTTCATTGTGAGCAGACGTGTTAGTTGCGATTTTCGCAAATCTGACTGTTTTTATGTTATTTCTGCATCGTGTATTAGCCCCTAATCACGGGCTAATCAAATAGTTTCGGAATTCGAACAAATCGCTTTTCGAACAGCCTTCTGGAACGTATTATGGTCGAAAACCGAGGTATGACTGTCCAAAAAAAACCCCCATCTAAACCCTTTCATGCACAAATAATGATAACCTGATAAGCTGTCCACTGTAGTAACCGCTTACAAGGTTCTGAGAAAATCACAATGTCCCATGAATGTTGAACCCTTTGTATAGTGGGCCCATGGGCTACGCACATGGACCTTGGGCGCTACCCGGTGCCCTCGAGCACCATGTTAGTGACCCCTGGTGTAGGCGGTACCACAACGTGCATAAGAGACGCAACCACGGGTTTGCATTTCTTCTTTAATTCTCACTGGCTTCCCGTCATCAGTATAGAGTTTCCAACAACAACAAAAAAAAATCTTTGATGAGTGAACACAACCCCATCCGTTTATTGAGTGGGAAGCTTCACAAATCCCTTCGATATGATTTCCGACATTTACGATGCCACTTTTGTTGGCGTTTTTGCAAGACTGATGTGAATGCGACGCAATCAGTCCACATTGCCGTCAGTTGCCTGCGTGGAGTCTTCCAACTGCAGCGTCTTGCGTGTCTCCGGTGGGCCGTGGCAATCGAGTCAGATTAGATCGGTTGTTTTTCAGCAACGAGGCTGAGCGGAAGGGGGTTGTTTGAGGGCGAGGGCGGGGGGCACCGAGGGCCAGTTCTGGGGAGGCGGGTTACTGGGCTGGAGTCGGGGGATAGATGGTGGAGCGCATGGGGGGGGGGGGGGGTTAACAAATAACAAATATCTGGGCCATGGGTAACCCACTAAGTGCCAGCCATCGTCCAATGAGCAAGCTTGCAAAGAGAGCTCGACCCGAGCCTTTCTCTCTCATGTGTCACGCTTCACCGGGTTTGCCTGCACACTCTAACCCACTATCCAGGGCAGCGGACGGAGGCAGAACTCAAGCTCTGCAAAACAGAACCAGGAGCAGGATCTGCCACGGCCAATCGCAGATAAACACTGCGATTGGCATCCGACCAGAAATGTTCCTAAGAGATTGAAAGAATTTAGTTAAAAGAATCAACCTCGGTCAAGCAAAGCTTGAGGAAAAACACCGACACCCAGCTTTTTAGAAGTGCTCTCATAGTTGAAATTGTATAGACGTAAAGCCTCGTTGCAGCCACGGGTTGAGCCCTGTTTATTCCCTCTGCGTTTTGTTTAAGCCTGGCTTAAGGGCTTCATTTTTACTTTTGGTTTTTACATGCGCGTTACATGCATGCATGTACTCGCTAACTGCCATGGTACCGAGTGGCTATCCAGATCTGCCCACCAAATGCTGAGTGGGCTCTTCAGTCGGCTGTATTTTGATTGTTTCTTCAAAGGAGATAATAAAAGCTGGAAATAACCCCCCACCCCTTTGTTTCCTTGTTTAGCAAAGTAAAAGCAACTACCGGAATTGGCCCTAAAATGCAGAGGAAACTACATCTTGTGCTCTCCTAGCCAATATCAGCCATAGCGACACCCCGCCGACTTGGAGTGAAACTGCAGCACATTTTCAAAACAACGCGCGGATATCAAGGCAAAACTACGCGCGGCATTGCCACAGTGACATCCTTTATACTTTACACTTCCTTCCGCATGCAGTTATTAATACATTTTAGCGTTCTCGGATTTCCATAATATTAGGCAGCCCATATGCAGCTTTGTGAATTTTGACCCGTAAACCGCGATGCCAAGCTGCTTATTTCAAGCCTTGGATAACGGTACTGTACGGGAGAGTAGATTATGACTGCTGCGAGCTTCCAATTATGGCTGGACAGGCGATTCTTTTTTTGACATTGAAATAAAGACAGGGGAAAGATAGTTCATACTTACGGATTCCTGTCTAACCATCAGCAGCCAACAAGGTTAGTCTTAGTTTGTTTTACCGTCTCGGGTGTTGTCACTGGTCACTGGCTGTGCACTTCCTTCTATTGTCCCAATATATTTCCTCCATTGCGGCATGTATCCTGATGTCCGCTGCCCCTCCCTCCAGCAGGACAATTCCAGTCATTTTCAAGCGTAGTCAAGGAAACGTATTCCTGGAAGAAAGCATTTTGTCAAAGTTGCCGTACAAGGACTTGAGGCTTATAAGAAAATGTGTGGACTTTATCAGTCGTTTGGGAATAAAGCTTCAGGCAGTTTTGAATAGTAAATGAAACCAAAAATGAATTGTGGTAAATATAGATAGTGGTGAAAGTGCTTTGTGGCATGACAATGACAATGTCAGAAAAGATGGCAATCAAGCCAATGAACATCGGCGCAAAATACAGACCTGCATGACAACCTCTCGGAAAAAGAGATGATTTTAGTGTGCCGTCACTTATGTCATGACGTTGGATGTTCGATAAAAGCTGTGCTGTTTTTCATAGTACGGTGGACCCCTGTCCACATGCGGATTCGCATGTTCATATTTTTTTACGTCTTTTTTTTCTCCCCTCCTCTTTAATATTGAGGGTTTGCTTTTACTGGGAGTTTTCTCCGCATTTTCCTTCTGTTTTTCGTGGAAAACGTTAATTGAATGCTTATCAGCATTTCTAAAATGTTTACGTTTGTTAAAAAAAATAAAATAAATTCCCGCGTGTATCTCAATGGCCATCACTTTTATCAGTCGTAGTTCTTAGTATGGTGGAAAAAAAAATCCCACCGAAAATTATGGAGATTTAAATTTGTCTTTTGCGTGGAACTTTTGCCATCATAAAGTCTGATATAAGGCATCTCCCTGCAGCGTTTTCATCTTGTTTATATGGATTTTATATCATTGTAACTTACGTTGTACAGTACAATATTGTGTCAAATGTAGCTCACTCGGCATCCATTGCATCCTGGAAGGGGGATTCTCCCATCTGCGGCCCCTTCTCAAGGTTTCTCATTTTTCCCCCAGATGGGTGTTTTTACGTTTTTCCTTGCCCCCCCACTCCTCACCCCCTCTCCCGTCAGGGGATGTCGTGAATACTTGTCAACCGTGGGCATGTGAAGCCCTTTGAGACTTGTTTGTGATTAAGGGCTATATAAATAATTGTGACTTGATTTGACTTGACCTAACATTTCTCAATGGCGCCTACAAAAAAAAAAAAAAAGCACTAAACAGAGGTCGACTTTGGCCAATTTGATGTCTTTACATGTGGATGGGATATGAGAGAAAAGTCTGTCTACCACTCTGCCTGCTACACACTCAGGCTAGCTTGACCTTGGGCGGAACACTTCCACCCTTGACGCCATATCAAGCGTCAGCCCCCCCAAAACAGAGGAAAGGGAGGATCTGTTTATAGGACATACAATATAGTATATCGTGTTTCTTATCTCAGATTAACCGCGTACTGTACGCAAAGCCACACACTGACTTTGGCTCAAGCGCTTCCCCTCGGCCATCAATTTGGCTCTGTTGAAAATGCACATCAGCAAGTGAACCGTTTTCTTTTGGGCACACTGTAGATATCGGAGCAGTGTTTGGATGGGCTGCACTCGGGGTGGGCCAAATGGGCACAAGTAAACCCTCAAAAACAAACAAAAAAATAATGCTAATTTGACAATATTCTAACCCCCCCCCCAAAAAAAACAAAAAAAAAAACCTGTCAATGTGGACTTGCTACACCAAACAATTATGGAAAGACAACAGCTCTTGTTTATATTTTAAATTGCTTTATACAACGACATTCTACGGCAATATCTACCAATGAAGAACTTCCAATTATGTCCAGGCTATCTAGGGAGTTTTCACGATTTTTGTGAATGTCAATTAAATGTCTCCCATTACTCTATAATGACAGATATGATCACTTTTAGTGCGGCAGTAAATACCGCTCAGGTGTTTAAATCGATTGCCTGTGAATATTGCTGACAATTTATTGCAGCCGGTTTCTCCATAATGATACAAATCTGCAAGGTTCGATGTGGAGTATGCGGAGGTCTGCTATTTCCGGGTACGACAGCAGTCAGAATGAAAAAAAAAAAATTGTATGCTTTACATATCGTTGCAAATGTAGCTCTGATGTGGAGCACGAGCTTTGAAGAATGGAATCTTCCTCGAATGTTGAACATCCGGCAAACTTTTAGCCGCTTTCATAAAGCAGTGTATGTGACGGCGGCGTTATAGTGGTGTCTCGCCAACGTTGACTTGCTTTTGTGAACGGTTACTGTGCATTTGCTCAACTTCATCTGTTCATCTGTAAATGATCGCTCACAAGCGCACTGGACTGTGATGTCCCTTCTGTCCGAGCCCTTTTGGATGGGTTCTGACCTTTTGGCTAGATTCGACATTTTTATTAACGTTTGGCTGAAACGAGACACGCATTGTTCCATTTTTGGGGGGCTGTGAGTCAAGCAAAAGTCAAATAAAATATCATCTTTAAATGAGTAACATTTATACATTGTCTCGTAACCCTGAAGACAAAATGCATTTTTGTCTTGTGGAAATAACTGTTTCCAGTATACTGACAAACCGACGCTAACATTTTAAAGGGTTCGAATAAAACTTGTTCTGGGCTGAATGTGTTTTGCGGCGCTCACGGTGTCGTTTATTTTTGTCAACGAAAATGCAGAGGTGTGGGCGAAAGGTCACAACACACCTCTGACTATTAGATGTTCGGCAAAAGCTGCACACTTTCGGATACGATGAATAGTCAAGACCGCATCCTCTGTCTCTGCGTAGCGGCACAGGGCGAAGAGCGAGAGTGTGCCTTCACAGACCAGGAGCAGCAATCGGAGGTGGAGCGAGTGGTCGGGGGCGAGGGCCGAGTCTCGCCGGAGAATACCACCATCCGATGTGCCAAGGGCAGCAACTGCTTCGGCTTGTGGGAGAAAAGTTCACCAGGCGAATTCCGTCTGGTCAAACAAGGTAGGACACTGCACGCAAGTCTCAATGTCTAAATGCCCCAGTTGTAATCCCAAGCAACACACCCACTGGAAATGAAAACGACAGTCCATTCAAAGCTTTGAGCGATGCACGCCATGAAATTGGGCAAATGAGTAATACCAACAACATCATATTTTTGAGCCTACCGTGTTTTCCACACTAAAAGGCGCACCGGATTATGAGGCGCACCTTCAATGAATGGCCCATTTTGTAATTTTTTTTTCATACGTTGGGCGCACCGCATTATAAGACGCGATCTACAATGCATCCACTAGATGGAGCTATGCTCAAGGAAACGCAAACAGAACGATCAGATGTCAGGAAAACGTATTGAATAAAGCAGCGACACCGTTCACTTAACCAAGCGCAAGTTATAACATTGACTCGTTAACGGTAAACTCTCTTGCCGCTGCTCCATTCCCGTGTTCGACTGCGAAACCGATGGCCTTAAGTTTGACATCTGCGTTCTAAGCATGTCTCTAGCAAGGAGCCATTTTGGCGTCACAATATTAGAGTAATGACCATACACAAGGCACATCGGATTTTAAGGTGCGCTGTGAGCTTTTAAGAAAATGGAAGGCTTTTAGGTGCGCCTTTTAGTGTGGAAAATACGGTACTGGAATGTATTATAATGTTTAATGAAATGTTTCTAATGCGTTGCTAGTGCCCAATGTTTAAAAAGCAGGAAAATGCGTTTGACTCCAGGGGGATTACTTTGAAGGGAAATCTTGCAGTTTATGGTTGGGATATAAAATCTATATTTCAAGGCTCAAAAAAAGCAGTTTTGCGTGTCAAAATTTGCATTATACGCTTCAGCAAAACACGGTGACTAGCAAAACTCAGAATCTGAGATTTTGTGGTTTTGACGATAATTGACACACCGAGATTGTCCCGAAAAGCTTCACTGGGCACGTTAAACGTGGAGCAACGCGATCAAGTCACCTCCACGCGGAGAGTCGGAAGTCGAGGCAAGCCCGGTGCTGCAGTACTTACACCGCACAAGCTAGCTAGCAATGGTATACATGCATGTAGAAGTAAATGTTTGTAGTAATTAATATTACTTAATGCTATATACCGTACTAATATCCTGTATATATACATGTTTAAGATGTATAGGTTAGGTTAGTGTATAAATAACAAAATACAGTAAACATAAACATGTAGTACTGTATACGTTGTTCAATGTGACGCGCTGTTGTTTTGCTGACTTTCCCTGCCTCTCGCAGACCTTTTGCGGCATTTTCTCTCTCTCGCTCTATGAGCAATGTCAAATTAAGAAATAAAAATAGCTGATTGAACTTAAAGGAAAAACCATGGCTCGTTTGTATCGTCATATTTGTGCTGTCGTCAACCCCATCCAGGTTGTTGGACCTACCCTAGCGACTACCAAAAATGTCGCGATGACCGCTGCGTGGTGAAAAACCTGTCGTCTCAGACCCAGAACGGGACGTACCACTTCTGCTGTTGCGGAAGTGACATGTGCAATGTCAACTTCACAGAGGACTTCTCACCTCCCAGCCCCGCCACTGCACAGCCCATCTGTACGTGCGCAGACACACACACACACACACACACACACACACACACACAATTGCACACAGACTGTACATGTACACTATGGCACCTAACTGGAATAAGCCCCACCCCCAATTCGTTTCACTAAATTTCGGGTCAATTTGGTAAGAGAGCCATGTATTACCCAGAACTTCTCTAGTTTCTGGTACATTCTTTCCTGGGACATCTTAAACGCCCCGGTCATGACCCGGTCTAGACCAGCTCCTCGTCCTTCGTGTTAGGTTCGTGGCCCTGCCAAGTCAGACCCGCAGGGTTGCCCTTGTTTTAAGTTGCTGTTCCGAAGATTCGCCTTGCCGCTCACTTGCTTCCGTTCAGTCATCGACCGTGTTTCTTTGGGATTTTATCACATATGATTTTTGTGTGATAAATCGAGACAAATATGCACTGAGCAGTTAACTGTCAGCAAATGATTAACACTTAAAGGGGAAATCAACCCTTAAATGTTTTTTGCAATGCAGCCCTACTCGTCTAAATGCTGATTGATATTGTGTATGCGGAACATGACTTAAGCAGCAAAATCCGCCCGCTTTTGTCCATCTCAGGGGCCATTTTGCCACCTTCTGCCAACGGAAAATGACATCACAGTTGCTCAGTGCTCAGGTAACAACCAATCATGGGTCAGCTCGAGACAATAGATGATCCGTAATTGGTCGTTACCTGGCCCCTGAGCATTTTCATTTTCAGTTGACAGAAAGTAGAAAAATGGCCACCAACCGAGCTGAACAAAAAGAGGCTTAATTCGTATTCCATAAGTGCAATATTACTCAGAATGCCGTGTTTAGACTAGTGGAGGGGCAAAGAGCGTATTACTGTGACAAATTTGGGGATTTTGAATTCCCCTTTCGCGCACGCTGAAATGAATATATGTTTTCAATAATGTGCCTTGCGCGGGCAAGAACAGGATTTCAGGATCGGCATCGACAGTTCAGAAGTTGTCATCCTGCGTCACACTTTGGAACGTCGTCAAGCAAAGCAAAGCGCATGTACTGTCAATTGTTCTTTCCTCAAGGTTTAGCAGTGAATAAAATGCACTGAGTGTGTGTGTGTGTGTGTGTGTGTGTGTGTGTGTGTGTGTGTGTGTGTGTGTGTGTGTGTGTGTGTGTTCTCTGTGTCAGGGCGGGTGGCGGAACGCACATTCACCCGCACACACACACACACACACACACACACACACACACACACACACACACACTCTACCATTCATGTTGCCACTCCACATTCCTCGGAATGCAAGGCGTCTGTGTTATCAGTCTGCCTGCGGGTGGGTTGGTGACTGTTCTGCTTAGCCGCCAGGTGACAAAACAAACGCGAGAGGAAGTCAGAAAGCAAGAAATAATGGTTTCAGTACGTTAGATGAAATGTGACATCTTGGAGTTAGATTCTAATTTGTAAGCCGTTGTTTGTGCTCGCTTTCACTGTTGATTGCCGACCTGTCTGGCAGCTCTCTTGCCACCATTGAGGTGACGGGTCCATTGTCTAAGTGGGAGCAGTCTGGGGCCAAAAGCATTCATGACATCAGATTCAGTTAGTTGTGGGAGCGTGTTGAAACATGGCAAATGGATTACACTAGTCTGTATTTAAAAAAAAAAAAAAAAAAAAGACAGCTGACAAAATTTCTAGCGACGTTTTGGATGTACGCTCCAAATATCTTGTTCGTTTTTCTCGATATGCTCCTATTTGATGGGATAAAGATTACAGACACCATCTCACAGACATTGTCATACTGCGTGAGGGGGCCCATTGGTTCATCTTGGTCCCCCGGGGTCGATTTCAAAACAGGCTTTATACGATTGTTTTCCCCTCAAGATGATTTTGCATCTTCATCTAGGTAATGGATACTTTCCGCATGGATCGCAAAAGCAATCAGGGTGATGCTTGCTAGACTTTGTCATCCTGTACTTTGATCTTCAACAGCAAATAGCTGAGTATTTTGTCAAAATATAGCTGGAAAAAAAAAAGAAATCATATGCCATTAGCTGCATTCTTAAACCAAGAATGTTTGCTCATTTAAAACATGCCTTAAAGCGACCGACTAAAACCTCAGAAAGACTCGGATGCGTACGACAGATTGTACACTGAGCTTTGTTGAGGCTACAACCAGTAGAGGATAAGCTTACCTTTAGCTGGTCCTTGAAAGCTCCTGATAAACGTTCACCTGTTTCAATTCACTGGCTGTGATAAAAAGTGATTCTACCCCCACCAAAAAAATCTGCAAATTCCTTTGCAGCAAAGTGAGATGAAATCTCAAAACAGTCAAGACAAAGTGTGCCGCTCTGTATTTCAGCCACAGGTCACGGTTCCTCCCAACAGGATAGTGACCCAAAACAAAGCGTTGAAAAGACATGAATTGCCGAAGAACAAATTCTCAAAGCTATTTGGTGGCTGACTATGAACCCTGATCTGAAAATCGCCCGTAGGAGCTTCAAATCTGAGAGTCAGGTCTCATTGCAGCATACCGAAATCGTTTTAGTGCATCAAGAATAATGACAACATTAATGGCACCATCTTTTTTTGTCCAGGCCATTTTAGTCGGATTGCTTTGAGTACCTTGAAGGTAGAAAAGTGCGATAATAGTGAAGGCCAATTTACCGTTTTACTGTTACCTTCCCAGCAAACATAACCATCATCCGATAGGAATCACTAACGTCATTAATATTTCAGAAGTTCCTGGTATATTTCTTGAGACCATTTGCCCTCATATTTGCTACACGCACGTTTATTCTTTTTAATCTGTCATGCCTGCAGACCCTCACACTCTGCGCTATGAAGAGACAATAATCATCGCCCTGGCAACCATCTCTGTGCTGGCCGTCGTCGCGGTAGCTGCTTTCTTTGGTTACCGCATGATGCGTGGTGAGTTTCCATGGCGCCGCGCTGAGAGCAAAAACAGACCACATTCACTCGTGTTTGTTAAATGTTTTGATGGGGTCGTAATCAAGGGATCGGAGAGGATCTTCTTTAAATTACTTTGTGTGTGCACATTTTTTAAATTGTATTTATTTTTTTACAGGGGACAGTAAGCAAGGTCTTCACAATCTGAACATGATGGAAGCCGCTGGCTCCGAGAGCTCTTTGGACCTGGATAATCTCAAACTGCTCGAGGTCTGCTCCTGAAATAAGACCGTTTTTTTTTTTCCTCCAGAAAAACGATACCACTTCTTATTCTGCATCACGCTCGAACCAAGTGGGACAACATACAAGGCCGTTCACTTCCACTACTCACCCCCAAAAACACCCGAGGCAGAATTCAGCCTGTCTTGATTTCAGGACAAGGCTAACCCAAATCAATAAAATAAATCAAGCTAATCAATGATCATCAAACTACAGCCAAAGATAGTGAACACATTTTAAGTCATGTATTAAAAAGTTGGGGCGGGGGGGATTAAAAGGCTTTGGTCAAAGTTTGCACTTTAGTCCTTTTCCATGAAAATCATCCGATCACAATCGATTGCCAATCGATTGCAGTTGCAATTGTTGTTTCAGTGTGACTTTCATCATCCACGTCGCGACAGCACATATGATACTCTGAGTGTTCCAAGGAATCGATTTCAGAACGACATGAATCACTACTGCTCATTTTCTAGAAGGATGTTTGTTTTGGGGGGTTTTTTTGCATTTTAATTCTCTTGAACTACAGCCACCACCTTGAATGATAAAAACGCTCCCAAAATGGAAACTAGGCCTCAATATTCAAGTGTAGCAAACTGATGGGATGAAAACGCTGCTGCTAACTTTTTTTTTTTCTTCTAGTTCCAGTTTTTTCTACAGGAAGCATTCCTGTCAGTATTTCTCTTAAACTTTAAATTGATTTTCTACCTTTATGATATTTGATGAATCTGCACTAGGAACACAGAATTACAAATATTGTATTCTTTCGAAAGCACAAAGTTTAGATTGAGTTTCTTTTCAGAGTCAGTATTTTCTATCACCTATTTTACCCAAATGTGTGCCAATGACATTTGGCAATGTGCACATGCAAAAGTCATTTTTTTCCTCCCAAAACTGAAAACGTTGCAAAACTGACCAAGCACCAACATGTCGAGCCAATTTTAGTATTTCAATAATGTAAAAATTCACCCATCAAAATTCCGAGAATTATTCTTGTGTTCACTTCACAAATGGACAATTTTGCTTCCATTTGTGCTCATTTATGTTCTGTCAAACAAGTGGGAATTATTATTTTTTTTCTGCTCTCCTTGTAGCTAATTGGCCGGGGTCGATACGGCGCCGTCTATTGCGGCTCCCTCGACGAACGACCTGTCGCCGTCAAGGTTTTCACCGCCAACAACCGCCAGAACTTCCTCAATGAATGCTCGATCTACCGGCTAACCCCATTACTACCCACATGTTAGTTGAAGTGACTCCTTTTGGCAATTGGTGCAACATGCGCATCCAATGTTCCTTATTTTCCACACTTTAAGGCACACCTCAAAGCATTCAATTTTCTCTCAAACCGACCGTGCGCTTTATAATCCGATGCGCCTTATAATCCGATGCACCTTATTTATATATGTGGATCATTATCAATATATATGGATCAATATTCAAACTTCTTAGACGTAGTATTTTAAATGTTCTGTAACGCGCTTTGTTGCAGCTGGAGCAGTTGCAAAAGCTTTCTATAAATAAAGCTATATTGTATTGTATTCCGTTTTGCATATCGCCATCTAGTGGATGCATAATGCAATTGCAGCCACTATTGTAGCTTCTATTCTATGTGCTTTATAATGCGGCGCGTCCTACATATGAAAACAGTTCTGAAATCAGCCATTCATTGAAGATGCGCCTTATCCTCCCACGTGCCTTATAGTGCAGAAAATACGGCAATTGAATATTTGCCTTTTGCTATGAAGACAGAGCCAAGCTATGTCTTATACCTGCATGCGGTGCATGTGACCCAGTGAAATCGGCATGTCACTTTCCCTTTGTCAAGCAGTGGTGTGACGTGACAAAGACTCAGCATTTTTTCCCCCCGCCTCCACACACGTCACTTCTCATTTTGTCAGACCCCAAGAGCGATGCTGACGATTGATTTGACTTTGCCGCCTCATCACCTTCACATCTCACGACGGTGCTTCTCTTTCTTGCCTCCTGTCTCCTACCCTAGGGCTCTCTGAGCCGCTACCTGAGCGTTCAGACCAACGACTGGGTCAACAGCTGTCGGCTTGCTCATTCTGTCACTCGGGGATTGGCGTACCTGCACACTGAACTCTTCAAAGGAGGTGAGCTGGCAAAAAAATCACACGCACGGGTTTTTTTGGAGGCTTCTGCAGCAAGAAAATTTGTATCATTTTTTGTTTGTTTTGTTTTAGTTAGTTTTGTTGGAATTATTTGGAATCCCTGTCTTCCAGCCAAGAGCTACAGCCAGCACGGTAGAACTCCGTGTGGGTCTTGGAGCACTTTGCGTCACTGCATTTGGACAAACCCACACTTGGGCCAGGCCTATTTATAGAGTGGCGTCTCGCCTGCATCCAAGTCATACAAAATTGGAAAGAAGGATGAAGTGAGCCGATATGAATATTCCCGAGGCTTAGTGAAATCATTCTTCTTAGGCAGAACCGACAGCTAAACAGAGCTGCAACTCCTTTGGCCCTCCTCATTCTTCTCAATCAGCAGGGGGACTCGTCACAGCAGTCAGCGAGGCTTACAAGCAGGGTGGAAGAAAATGAAAGGCAGGTGGACGAGCGAGTGACAGGCGAAGAAGAGTCAAAAGGGAAAGAGGAGTGGCCTGCGGTACACGGAGCTGCGATCGGGCGGATCTTTCTGGATTCGGTGGTTCTGGTCAGTCAGAGTGCACAGGCAGAGGATATTGAGGCCATATGGTTATAATCTTATTTTTGGAGATTTGATAGCGGGGACAGAGTTTAGCAGCCTGGTAATGGCGCATCCTGTTTTGGCAGAATGTCAAGAGAGGAGAACATGAAGCGGTGCAAGTGGATTTGCTTGATGTTGTATGATTCAGTACCAATATACAGTGTTATCTTGATTTACACATTGAATTTGTTCCGTGACCAACGGGTTGTATCTTTATTTCTTCCAACAGTGCACCCCCACTATAGTTACAGGGGATAGGTACTGACTGGGCTGGCCCGCAAATACCAAAAATCTGCATATCAGTGCAGGGTTCTCACAGGTCCTTGAAAACCTGAGAAAAAAAAGTCACATTTCCTGGAAAATATTTTTTTCCCTGCCTCTTTTTCTCCCCGCCTTGTGGGTGCACACAAATGAATGAAACACTTTTGTTTTTTGTTTTTTTTGCTGGATTTACTGACTTTTCAGAACCAAGTATGGATTTACCGTATTTTCCGCACTAAAAGGCGCACCTAAAAGCCTTCCATTTTCTAAAAAAGCTCAACGCGCGCCTTAAAATCCGATGCGCCTTGTGCATGGTCATTGCGGTAATATTCCGACCCCAAAATGGCTCCTTGCTTGAGACATGCTGACAACGCAGAGTTCAAACTTAAGGCGATCGGTTCCGCAGTCGAACGCGGAAATCGAGCAGCGGCAAGAGAGGTCAACGTTAACGAGTCGATGTTCTAACTTGCTGTTGGTTAAGTGAAGTGTGTCGCTGCTTTATTCAGTACGTTTTACTGACATCTGATCATTCTATTGGCATTTCCTTGAGTGGCGCTCCATCTAGTGGATGCGTTGTAGATTGCGTCTTATAATGCGGTGTGTCCAATATATGAAAAAAATTACAAAATAGGCCATTCATTGAAGGTGCGCCTCATAATCCGGTGCGCCTTTTAGTGTGGAAAATCCGGTATTTTCTCCAACCTCACACTAAACCTGGAGACTTTCAGGTGACGAGTGTTGCTGCCGTGCTGTACATTGAGTGCAAGATTTTTCTCCCTCTCTTTGTCTCTTCACTTGAGTGACAAAGAGCCAAAGTGGGCGCGCCGTCAACTTTTAGCATGTGCGCCCTGAGATGAAATCCATCTGTGGTTTCGGTCGAGCCACAGCGACAAATCACAACGGCTTTGAGATAACGACCGGTAACCGTCGTGTTACCGGGCCACGTTTCATTCAGTTTTTCACAGTTGCTCCATTGTCCTCCTTTTCGTTCCTTTCAAAGACATGTACAAGCCAGCGGTCTCCCACAGGGACCTGAACAGTCGGAATATTCTCGTCAAGGCCGATGGCACTTGTGTCATCATCGATTTCGGCCTGTCCATGAAGCTGACGGGCAACAGGCCGGCGCGCCACGGGGAGGAGGAAAACGCTGCTATCAGTGAGGTGAGAGCAGACCCCCCCGAGTAACAGGTACCCGGAGGAGAACGTCATCATCATCGGGATGCAGACGTTGCCATGGCAATAAATATTCAAAATGTCATTTCAATTCCTGCCATGCTTTCACCTCTTTTTTAGGTGGGCACCATCCGCTACATGGCGCCAGAGGTGTTGGAAGGAGCCGTGAATCTGAGGGACTGTGAGTCGGCGCTGAAACAGGTGGACATGTATGCTCTGGGCCTGGTCTACTGGGAGACCTTCATGAGATGTACCGACCTTTTCCCCGGTAAGACTTCACTCATACACGTCCACACACACACACACACACACACACACACACGCAGAAAAATACTGTCGTCCCGATTCAATTTCCCATTTCTCCTCCTCACTTGCGACCTGTAGGCGAATCCGTGCCAGAGTACCAGATGGCCTTCCAGGCGGAGGCCGGCAACCACCCGACGTTCGAGGACATGCAAGTGCTGGTGTCGAGGGAGAAACAGCGGCCCAAATTCCCAGAGGCCTGGAAAGAGAACAGCTTGGTACGCGTGTGGGGGAGGGCGGAGTCAGAAGGGGAGCAACAGCAAGGCCCGAATAGCAAAATTTGTCGGAAATAAAACGCAAATGTTTGATGTCAGCGGGACACTGGTTTGATGCTTATGGAATGTTATTCGCAATCTATTTCAGCCCGTCTGTTTCGCTGCAGTCGCTCACTAAACGTGATGTTCCGTTATCAAAATTCATAGATCACAGATTAATAATAATCTCTTAAATTGTTTATCAACTCCAGATGTCATTATCTGGAAATAGTGCTGAAATGTATTTCAGGGGGCCGAGTATATATTATGTTTTATTTTATGTCAATAACACTGGTGCGCATCAAAATAATTGCACAGGGTAGTTTCAGGGGTAGACTTTGTTTTTCTCTCTATGCCCCGTTGTTTTTTGTCATTTTATCCTTTTTTTTTTTTTTTTAATTGCAGAAACTATTTATTTATTTGTTTTTAAACAGAAATCGTATTTTCGTACAGTTGTAAAGCATTTGAAAGCAATGTGTGGGGGTTAGGGTAGAAGAGCACTTTGCATTTACTTGGCATCAAATCACGAAGGTAACGGATCACTTTGATACGTGACGAAAGGGTGCGCATGGACATTTACTCGCAGTTTTTCCCTGTTTTTCATGCACTTCATACATATATTTAATATATATCCACGAATGCTCAGAGAGCAAGTAACAACGTCAACTACAGTACTGCTGGAAATCTCCTAATGTGTAACAGAAAAAGTGGAGCGTACGCGGCAAAATAAATGCCGGGAAAAACTGATGTCGAAAATACGCGTGTCATTCTTGTAATGAACACGCACACAGTCACCCATTGACCATATCAGCAAATCATATTATGGCCGCTTGTCTGTCACACCCGGAGCATTTTTTTTTTTTCTTTTTTAAATCAAATCATCTGTCAGCCATTTATTTTTAACGGTAAGGTTGTAGAATGATTTGGAAGCTTTGGAGCACGCTTTGCAGCATATTTAGAGTTTTAAACTATTAATTGGGCAATTCTCGACATTTTAAGGAGGATGTCATTTACCCCATTTGTTTTTTTTTTCTTTTCCACCTGCAAATACTACATTTGCAAAATTTTCTGCGGCCCCTCGAAAGATGGCTCCCCAGTTTGAGAACGGTGGCCGTCGATGCGGCCGTTACGACGCGTCTTGTGTCTCTTATCTGGCAGGCGGTTCGCTCTCTAAAGGAGACGATGGAGGACTGCTGGGACCAGGACGCGGAGGCCCGCCTGACGGCCCAGTGCGCCGAGGAACGGCAGGCCGAGCTGCTCCTCATTTGGGACCGCTCCAAATCGGTCAGCCCCACGCTCAACCCCATGTCGACCACTCTGCACAACGAGAGGTAAAAACCTTCACGTGGTTCTTCACCCGCTGAAATGCCCGCCTGCTTTTTCAAACCGGGAATACTCTGCCCCCCGCTCTTTCCCCTCAGAAACCGGGTGACCCCCAAGTCCGGCCCGTACGCTGACCATTCCTCCACTTACATCGAAGAGCACGAGGGCATGGCCAAAAACGCGCAGTCCGATACCACCAGCTCCGCAGGTGGCCGATTGGGGGGCGGGACTGGAGAGAGGAACAGGAACTCCATCAACCAAGAGCGGCAGCAGCAAGCCAACGCCCGGATGCCCAGCCCGGAGGGGAGCAGCACCAGCGGGGCTTGCTTGGGTCTCAGAGGGAGCCCCTCGGCCTCGACCACAACCACCACGATCATTTCGGAGTCCGAGGGGCCAATGGGCAGCGCCACGGTGCCCGTCTGCCTCCACCTGACCCAAGAAGACCTGGAGACCACCAAGCTGGACCCCAAAGAGGTGGACAAGAACCTGAAAGAGAGCTCAGACGAGAACCTGATGGAACACTCGCAAAAGCAGTTCTGCTCGCCAGACCCGCTGAGCCCCGGGAGCTCCAGCTTGCTGTACCCCCTCATCAAGATGGCGAGCGAAGCCTCGGGCGCCTCCGAACCGGCCCCCTCCATTCCCGCCGCCGTCTTTCCTCTGCCCAAGCAGCAGAACCTGCCCAAAAGGCCGTCGAGCTTGTCCCTGCGCAGCAAGCCGGCCAAGAAGGAGTCGTCGTCCTCTTCGCTCAGGTTCAAGTTCGGACGATCGGGGAAGTCCAACCTGCGGCAGGTGGAGGGAACCAAGATTAACGGCGGCGCGGTAACGGGCCCGAACGCGGACGCGGGAGCTCACCGAGGCGCGGGTATCAACAACATACCGGCCCTACGAGAGGCGCACGCCAACGGCGGCATCGACGGCCCCGCCAACGGTCACAACATCGGAACGGAAACGGAGCGTTGCGGTCCGACGACGGTCGCCTCAGCCTCGGCGTCATCACGGCCAGCCCGGACGAACACGAGCCGCTGCTGAGCCGCGAGCCGCCGGATCCCGGCGACGCGTCTACGGGCGTGGCCGCGCTGCGCTCGGCCCGACCCAACACCAACAACAACAACAGCAACACGGGCCGCGGCCGGGGCGACGGCGAGAGCGGAGGCGAGAGCGAAGGAGGCGGCGACGAGGATACGGGTACGGAAGGAGGAAGCGGGGCTCCGACGGGGCCGCCGGGAGAAAGCGCCGGTGCCTCGCACTCTTCGGTGACGGTCACCATGCGAGACGAGTCCCTGCTCAGGCAGCCCCGAGTCCGCAGACCAGAGAGACCAAACTCCTTGGACCTGTCCTTCACCACACAAGACTTGGCCTCATTCGGTGAGACGCCGGCTGACAATTCCAGTTTTTAGGGCCGCGGTACCCTTAACAGCCTGACCGGTGCCTCGAGTTAAAGAGCTTTTCAAGTTACAAACCCACGCTCTCAATTTGATTTATTTCTCCTGGTTTCATGTTGTGAGCGTTTATGAACCATCGAGGCACAAAGCGTGGAATTTCCGGCTGCAGCTATCGTATTTATGTATCCGACTGCAAATTCAGTCAAATAATTGAGCCTTCGTAAACATGGGTTGAAGATAAGATAAGATAAGATAAGATAATAAATCCTTTATTAGTCTCGCAATGGAGAAATTCCCAATTCACAGCAGCAAGTTTTCGCTTGGTTCAGTATGAATACACAAAAGAACAGACGACATTTCACTTCATGAATAACCAATTGTTTTTGTCTTAGATCATCAAACATTTTTTTTTTTCTTTAAATTGGAAAAGTGAATTTTCCTGTCCAGAAACATTTAGCAGACACCACCTACTTCACATCCAATGCCGTCTTTTCATCCCAAAATCAATTATTAAGCCTCCAACAAGTAAACCAACACCTTTTGGCATTTTGGTGCAATCGACATTCCAAAAACACCCGCATCAGCACCACAAGGACAAAACATGCCATTTACAAATGGCTCATTCAAGATCAAAGTCCGGGATCTTCATATTAGTCTTAATCTGGACCGAAACATTTATTTAGAACCTCCCATTTTCTCGACTAATGTTCAAATATTAAATATTTTCCTTGCAGGCAAAAAAAAAAAAAAATCTCTCTTTTGTACATCCACAGCGGCATTATGGATGAAGTCAAAAATCCTGTCCCAGGTTCAAGGCCAATCAATCAAAGACGTCATCCCATCTCCGGCATGCATTGAGCCGGATTTTGTGTGATTCATTTTCAATCAATGAATCATTTTGATTCTCTCATTGGCGGATGGCAAACTAAAAATGTAGTTGTACCTTGGTTAATTTTCAGTTTTCAGCCTCCTCCTGAATGGTTTGAACAAACCGGGCCATACACGGCTCATACATCCAATCTAATCTTCTTTTGTCATTTTCACTCAAAACGTCATTCATAAATGAGGGAGTTCCCACCCGAGCGACCCTCGTCTGCCGACAAAGACCTTTCTCCCATGCGTCTTCACCACTGTTGCTTTGCATTGCAAAGGCGGGGACACCATTTGCGGTTTGGACTTTCCTCCGATAATTGGGTTTCCGTGCCAACACTCAAGTTGCCGAAGCCTCCTCAGATGAGAGGCGAAACATCGTTCTAAGACAACCGGAATAATCAATCCAGTTGCAAACGAGTCAGTGCCCCATTGAACGAAATGACCTGAATGAATGAAAATAGTCATCGACGTTAGCAAATTTGTGGTACGTGGTGTTAGCTAGCAATCTGCGCGGGGATTGTTGACTATTTATATATATTTCTGGTGGATATGACCCAAGCGCTGCCGCGATAACTCACAAATAATTGACACCCGTGCGCTCGCAGGTGTTTGAAATAGCTCATACGTAGATGAAAACCCACTTAGGACAAAAAAGATCATAAAGCATCAACGCCATGCATCGAGCATGAACGCAGTCGTCAGCGTATGGTACATCAATAATTGTTATTCAGTCGTGAAATTATTCAACACCAACAAATACACCTTCACATGAGGCAAGCATAACCACCGTGAATTGCCGTTTTCAGGCGACAGCTTGGGGCACCCAGACAGCGATTTGGGCACCGGCGATAAGATCAAGAAACGAGTCAAGACGCCGTATTCGTTGAAGAAATGGCGGCCGACCACGTGGGTCATCTCAACAGATGCCAGGGGGCTCGAGGTCAACAACAACAACAACAGCGGGTCAGGCCGGGGCCAAGGCCGCAGCCACAACCGGCCCAAGTCCACTTCGGCCATCTACCTGCGGGGCGGAGACTTGGTCGGCGAGCGCGGCGACACGCATGTGTGAGCATCCCCGCATAAGAACTCAATTAACCCACTGAGCTGTTTTTTTTGTTTGTTTTGTTTTGTTTTTTTTGGGGTGGGGGCTCAGCTCAGAATCAGCAAGAGGAAGCTACGGGGAATCGTGGCCTAAGAGTCGAGTCCGATGTACAGTCCACTAATTAAGGTCTCCCTGCTGTCTGTCTTTTCCGATGACGTAATTTGCTTTCGATGCAATCCAAGCTATGCAGCGTTCTCTCCCGCTCGTCCATTTCTTATTCGCTGTCCCTTTATGTTCGCCTCCCCCATAAAGCATCCACGTGTTAATTGTTTGGGGTTTTTTTTTTTTTCTACGTGCACTTTGAGCCGATGAGATCGGCATTTGGTCCCGCCCTGCCCGTCGTGACCGCGGCGCCGCAGGGATTTCAATCATGCGCTCTTGTTTGTTTTCATTCAAGCACACGGCCCCGTTGAAAAGAAGAAACGGTCTTTAAAGATAGAACAAACAAACTTTTTCTTTGATTTTTGTATGCAAGAACTGTCGTCGTGGACTATCCATGTTTTGTATCATCACCTGAGTTTTAATTGTGCAATAGGATGTAGCTTTCAGATGCTTTTCATGTTTAATTGTTTTGTTGTTGTTTTTAACCTTCAATCATATTTTGAATATGTCAATCAATCTCCTTTGCACTTATGATTAGTCACAATCTTCAACCTTGCCCCCCCCCCCTACCCCAGCCTGAAGCGGAAAAACAAATGACAATCCTTCAATTTCCGTCTCGGGGGCATCATCTTGAGTGGGGCACGAACAATCGAGCTCATCTGAGTGCTTGAGAATATTGCGACGCCCCCCTCCCCCACACTCACCCACCCCATCCTCTTTCCACACAATCGCACCATGAATTGTTTTTAAACTCAATCTAAGGCTCTTGTCTCAGTGTCACCTGACTTCATGTTTGACTTTATGTATGTGACTGAATTATAACCAGAAGATGATGAAAAGAGAAAAAAAAAAAGTCCCATTTGTGCTTCTTGGAACTGCGCTGGAAATGAGAAGAAGAAAAAGAAGAAATAAATAAATAAAGACAGACACAAATAATACCAAACCCCCTTCCAAGGCACGCTGAATATTATTTGTGCTTCTACTGGTCGCATCGCTTCATGTTTGGATGGCTGGTTCGACAAGATGTTGGTTTGTTTGAAGTAAATTTTGTTTTGCTGGAGTCCAGCGCTGTACAGTCTCTGTATGTTGTACTCATTCTGTAGTCTCAGCGCCACTTCAGGATCGACGAAACGAGATCTCATTTTATTATGTTTTTGTAATCTGTAATTTGTATGCAAGAAAAAAAAAGAAAACACTATTATTGCATTTATTTGTATATTTTTAATGGGATCCTGTGTTGCATTCAATGGACATGGAGGACCTTTGATTCCATTGCTTCACGTTTGCTTGATACAATTTCCCGAAACCTTTTCAAGACACTATGGAAGAAAAAAATCTCAATAAATGTATGAAAACTTGGCTTGTGTCTGTTTAGGTCCCTGGGGGCGAATGTCAGGTTTGACGTGTACTACTACAAATTGGATTTCATTATAGTGCACAGGTAGCCTGGTTGTTCGTCTGTGTGTGCCCTGCGATTGGCTGGCAACCGGTTCAGGGTGTCCCCCGCCTACCGCCCAAAGACAGCTGGGATAGGCTCCAGCACGGCCCGCGACACTTGTGACGATAAAGCGGATCGGAAAATGGATGGATTTTTTTGGCACATAATTTTTGGTGAACCACGGCGGGGGGGGGTTTGCTGTAGACGCTCCCTGTCAGCCAATGGTGGTTAAACTGCGGCCCGGGTGCTATTTGTGCCCCGCTCACCGTTTTTTTAGAAGCTAGCAGCATGCTCTAAAAATAACATTTGACACTGCGATTTAAAAAAGGGGTTGGTTGAGTGGGCAGTTTGAGAAGTGGGAGTAATGTGAGTGAATGGGACTACCACTACAAGGGTCATTCCATAATTGGAGGAGGACAATTTACGTCCCGGACATCAAATTTGAATTAAACCACATACAGAACACTAAAACATGTCGTTTCTATGTAAAGAATGCTTGAATTTTTTTATTTTATTTTTTTGAAATGCCAAATAGTTCTGGAGTACCAAATGTCAACGTGTCAATTACAGTACTCGTCATGTGCCCTTGAGCATCAATCACAGCTTGACGGCGACGTCTCATGCTGTTCACAAGTCGACTTGTTGTCTGCTGTGCCTGTGCCCGTGCAGGTCGTCTATAGCACGCAGACCACGCCGCAGCAGTTAACAGCTAGCTAAAAAGCAAGCTAGCTTCTCCTCCTCAGAGAAAGCTAACATTCGTCCGCATTTGGAACCTGCAACCCTGTCACTGATTACAGTGACACTAAATAAATGATGTCATAAAAATTATACTATTGATCCAAGCTGAGCTAAACAAGCCTTTGATAATTTATCACCTATTATTGATAAATGTGTCGCAGAAAATCAGAAAAGTGAAGGTTTATTTTTGTAATGTATTTTTGTGAATTCTGTCTGGACCCATCCACGATTCGTGGAATAATCATGAAGGTGGCCCCACGAGGGCGACATTTTCTTCGAACCCACCCCCACCTCGATTTCAAAGAAAATGTTTACGTCTCTGCTCTCTGCTCCTTCGCCCTAGCAACTGCAGCATCAGCACGAGCGACGAGCGTCGGTAAGCTACGTCAGCGCTCCATCGTCGCCATCAAAGTCACACACCTTCTGCTCACACGAACCGGAAACACATTTTCGCCCTTCAGAGTATCATTGAGTAACCCAATGAGGCAACTCTCTGCCAGCCACTGCAATTAAATGTGACCATCCGATCACCAGATGAATGTTGACTCACATTTAGTATTTTCTTTTAGAATGTTTGCTGTGTTAACTTGGGACAATCTGAAATTGGAGGAGAATTGAAGCACCAACATTTTTGACAACAGACTATTTTATAATTACGTGTTATGAGTTCAAGAAGAGAAAAAAAACTGGTAGAATGATTTCCATATAATTTGATAGTGTAACGTTATAGCTACAATATGCATAATGGCATTGTTCTTCTTACTCTCTTCCTCGTTGTGCAATGTTTTGTCCAGCAGTAACTTGTACACGTTGCATCTGGTTGCACTCCACGTGGACGTCACATACCCGTGTGTTGAAAATGCTGCCCTAAAAGGGGAATATATCATTATAGAAGTGTATTTTTCAGCTCTTTGTGTGTGAAACCCCACACCGGAAGTCGCGTGTAAATTCATGTAACTTCGCACTGGTCCTCCTCCCGTCGTGCCAAGCGAAGCTAGTTGAGCATCACCGCCTTCTTTCTATCCCTTGTCTTTTCTGTCTCTCCGTTGCATTTCTGCTTTTTCCTCCCTCCCATACCTTCCGGGTTCCACCTGATGCTAAGGTCGCCTTTTTCCCATTTCCCATAATTTCCTTTCGAGCGCAAAGCGTTTTAGTCTCTATTTTGGGAGGTTTTTCTTAGCCGCACGTAGCGCGACCAAAAAAAAAAAACGTCCACCAAGCGTCGTCCATTGACACCATATGTGTCGCCAATTTCACCCACGTTCGCCTTCTACGTGTGTGTTGATGTCGGCCAATGCCGCCGTCGTTTTGTGTCTACCCTCGGTAGCATTTTAGGACGCGGCGAGCATCAGTCGGGTTGGACGACGAGCTCCCATGCTGCTTTGCGCACCGCGGGACAACAACTCACCACCTTTGCAGGTAAGTCGCGCACAGCAACGTCGAAACGAAGCAGCACGAGGGTGTCGGTTCGACACCCTTGAGAAGCAAACTTAAAGCTCCGTGTACGGGTGCGCTCTTCTAGTAGGACACATGCATGCCGCTCGTACTACTCGTGTCGAGTTCTACTCGACCTGGTAGCACGCAGATGTCAACCAGTGCACGTTTTTGCCTCATGTTGTCCTACGGAGGCCAAAATATCCTACGATGCAGAAATGTGACACAATCGTGGAATGCAATAGTTTGAAAAAACGTTACTACGAAGACAAGAGTCGTGTACTGGTGCGCTGAAATGTCCTACAAGTGCGGATAAGATAAGATCACCTTTATTTGTCCCACACTGGGGAAATTTGCATAAAATAGCGTAACAATATATGATTTTCGACGACTTGTTCCCTCGTCATTTCACGAATGTTTTTGACTTGTCTTAAGAGTTTGGATAAAGAGAATACTAGTACGTGGACCTTAAGATGGATATCAAGACTATTTAGTGCGCAGGTACGATAAAGGCGCGCTATTATAATGACTGTTTCTTAGTTGTAATGTTTCGTTTGTTTGCTTTTAAGCGGGTTGATTCGATTTGAATCATTGGGATTACGCTTTGATTCGATCTGGTTCGGCTCAGTTTTAGAGGCTTTGATGCAGTGAGTTTTGTTTTCATTTTACCGTACCTACCAAGATTAATTAACGTGTCAGTGATGTAAATGTTGACACTTCCATATGTGTTTTAAATGGCATCAATTCACTTTGGTCTGTTTCAATGCACTCTCGCGTATTTTGAATCAAAACCAATACACACACGTGTGTGTGTGTGTGTGTGTGTGTGTGTGTGTGTGTGTGTGTGTGTGTGTGTGTGTGTGTGTGTGTATAATTGTGGATAGATCGTGAGCTAGGCAGAAATTGTGTTTGGCCTTGTTCCCTAGCAACAGTTGCTGCACCGGTCAAAGACTCCGGCCAAATTTAGATGCAGAATCGGAACATGTGCTAGACGGATTTCTGCCGTTTTAAATGTTGATGCTAAAAGAGGGCGTCAGCAGTCCCCGATCGGGGTCAGCCGGGAATCATTTGCCCCGCTGTGTCTCCCAACTACTTACTCCCCCACCTTAAAATGTGTTAATGCCGGTCGGGATTAACATCAATCCTGTACCACGACACACAAGCCGACTTGCTAAACGGACTCATCCTGTCTTTTTCCGTGTTGACATGTTTACATTTCCAGGACGGCCTTCCCATTCCGACTCTCCTTCCGCCTCCTCCTCAGAAAGCATCAGTGGCCTTAAACTGAATCACCCGTCGTCCCCTTCGTCCGCCCTCGGAGCCTCCCTCATTCTCCTGTCCGTCCCCCACCATCTCGCCCAGCTGTGGCCCTCGCAGTGCGCGACCGCTGGCACTCACCTGGAAGGTCCTTGGCCTCAGGACGACTGCCAGCAGCAGCAGCAGCACCTTTCCTACATGAGGGACAAGGCCACACAAGTAAGCCTTCCAGATAAACTTGTAAATCAAGGTCCCACTGTACTTGAGTGCCGACTTGTGTTTTTGTGCGTCAGACCCCCAGGGCCTGGGCAGATGAGAGGAGGCGAGGCTCTCACAAGCGCTCGGCTTCCTGTGGGAGCACCGACCAGCTCAAGGAGGTCGCTACACCGCCCCCCCCAAAAAAAAATATACATGTAGTGTTTTTAAACTGTAGCATTAATTCTTTCATTTTCAATTGCCAAATGAGAAAGAAAACTGTCTAGTTTATTTTCTAACCCACCACAAACACATTTTTTTAATTGAAAAAGAGTATTAAATTAAAAAACAAAACAGTCCACATGATTGAATTTTATTCAAGGGATGCACTGATACTTTTTGTCTCCATCGTGCTTGTCATGTTGCGTGACGGTAGTGGAACCAAAAAGCAGTGTGTGTAATGAACATAATTTATCATCAAAAACACTTCCAGGGGAACACTGGAAAACTTAAAGCCAAAACACAAAGGCCTGAAAATGCCAAGAAACCAAGACAGCCACAAAAAAAAAAAAAAAAAAAAAAACCTTGACAGTAAAACAAAACAACGTGACAGCAACACAAACAAAACATGACAGTAGCACAAACAAAAAAATCCATGGCCGTAACACAACGATCCGACAACGACTGCTAGAAACCAAGGAACTAAATACAAGCAAACCGGCGAGACAACACGGAGCGCCTGGTGAAGACACAAAAGATTGTGGGAGCTGATTGGTTGACAACAAGGGAAACAAAACCTGACGAGGAAGATTTTTTAAAAAAAGCACATGAGGAAACATAACCAAATGTAATCTAAACAAAAACAGAATCATCACAGTTCTGATACTGTGCGACCATCTGTGGTCTCGAAAAATGCTCTGATACTATAAACACCGATACCACTTCACCAGATTGACAGACCTTCCGGATGGAGCCACATTAGCCATGTGAAGATAAGCATGACTGCAGGACAACCGACGACAAATGATGTTCTTCAAAACGGATACTAAATACCGCTCGGACGGTGATGGAGGCAGCAGCTCTCCTGCCAAATTTATTTTCAAACTAAAGCGCCTTGTGTTTCGATGCTACGTTGAAGGTGAAACGTGTGGCGAGAATGGAAATCGTACAGACAAACGGCGTGCTCACGTATGAAGTTACAAATGACAAAATCGTCACTTTTGCTCGTTGCCGATTGAAAATGGAACGAAGGAAGGATCAACGGCTTAAAAACGCGCACGTGTCCAACATCTTTTCAGATCGCCAAGCTGCGGCAGCAACTCCAGCGCAGCAAGCGGAGCAGCCGTCATCGGAGGGACAAAGAGCGCAAGTCGCCCTTCAATGGCAGCCATGCCATCATGCAGTCGCAGGTGATCTATGTTACAAAAATGAGTTTGAAATGGTATTAAGGTTTATAAGAATTAGGGTTGGGCCAATACCGATAGCGGCTAGCCCTTTTTTTCAAGGTATCGGGTGGAGATGCCGATACCGGTCAGCGATACTCTCCCCCCAAAAAAAAAATCTGACGAGTAAGTTTTCCTCGACAGTAGTTGACGTTATACTGCGAGCCTTCATCTGCGTCATTGTATGAAATGAAATTTTATATCTCAAAAGTACTACAGGTATCGGTGAATACTCATACTGGTATCGCTCTGGAAAATGTTGGTCTCAAACATTCCTAATTAGGATCTCATAGCTTGAGGTGTCTTCAGTTGAAACAATAATTTGAAAGATCAGTTGATCACATTTTTTTTGAAATATCCCCCCCCGCAAACAGTCGGTGTTTACTTTCTTTCCGAAATGTCTTGTGTGTGTGTGTGTTGCGCAGGCGGCCATGCCCAAGACCATCCTGATCCCCATCCCCATATCCAAGTCATCCGCTCCTCGTTTCCGCAACAGCGTGGAGGGTCTCAACCAGGAGATCGAACGCATCATCATCCGAGACACGCCCGAGAAGGATGAGACCATTGTTGTGGGTGACATCAGGATTCATAGCTAGGCCCCCCTTTTTTTTTTTCCTTTCCTGTTTTTCGACACAACAAAAAAGGAAATATACTCGCTGAAATGACCGGAGCTCATTCAAAATATTTCTAGGACACATTGAAAAGATGAAGAAAGATCCCGAATATTCATTTCAGAATCGGACGCAAAATATTATTAAGACACGTGTCAAACTCAAGGCTCGGGGGCCAGATCCGGCCTGTCAGGTCATTTTATGTGGCCCACGAAAGCAAATTATGTGTGTCGACTTGCTAAAATATGTACCGAAATATCATAAATTGTCACGTATAAGAAATAACTTTGAGATTTTTTTGCAATAATTTTGTTACCCAGTTCACATTCACTTGAACAATAACTGAACGAACTATTATAATTGACTTGACTGATTTCAAAACTCGTAATCTATTCATGTGAGCCACAGATTACTTCCGCACCGACGTAATGGAAGTTACGTCG